TTTCACCTAAAATCCCCGTTTTTTTTCCCAAAATTCCCAAATTTTCTGGAATTTTCCCCAAATTTTGGGATGCTCACCTCCTCCTCAGTCTGCACGGGCACCCAGGTGAGGTTTGGCACGTGCAGCTCGTCGCTGCCGGGTCCCAGGCGCCGGATCAGAACCCCAACATTTCCCCAAGAAATCCCCAAAATGCCCCCTAAAATCCCCATTTTTTCACGTAAAATCCCCATTTTTTCACCTAAAATCCCCATTTTTTCACCAAATTTTCCTGAATTTTTTTTGGAATTTTGGGATGCTCACCTCCACCTCAGTCTGCACGGGCACCCAGGTGAGGTTGGGTACGTGCAGCCTCAAATCCCAATGAATATCCCCCATAAAATCCCTGTTTTTTCATGTAAAACCCCCATTTTTTCATCTAAAACCCCCATTTTTTCCCCTAAAATTACCGTTTTTTTTCCCAAAAGTCCCAATTTTTTTCAGAATTTTGCGATCCTCACCTCCTCCTCAGTCTGCACGGGCACCCAGGTGAGGTTTGGCACCTGCAGCTCCAAATTCTGCTACTTTAACCCCCAAAATCAGCCATAAAATCCCCGTTTTTTCACCTAAAATCCCCGTTTTTTCACCTAAAATCGTCATTTTTTCATCTAAAATCACCATTTTTTCACCTAAAATCCTCATTTTTTCACCCAAAATTCCCAAATTTCCCCCAAAATCTCAATGCTCACCTCCTCCTCAGTCTGCATGGGCACCCAGGTGAGGTTTGGCACCTGCAGCCCCAAATTCCAATGAAAACTCCCCCTAAAATCCACGTTTTTTCACCTAAAACCCCCAAATTTTCACCTAAAATCCCCATTTTTTCACCTAAAATCTCAGTTTTTTCCCCCAAAATCTCAATGCTCACCTCCTCCTCAGTCTGCACGGGCACCCAGGTGAGGTTGGGCACGTGCAGCTCGTCGCTGCCGGGTCCCAGGCGCCGGATCTCCAGCTCGGAGCCGCGCTCTCCCCGCGCCAGCAGCAGATCCCGCAGCGACTCGTTGTAAATCTCCAGGAAACTGGCGGAGAAATGGTACTAAAAACGCCTCAAATCCCCCAAATCCGCCCCAAAACGGGCACCCCCGGGCGGGATTTGGGGTTTTTATTTTGGGAATTACCTGCCAGCCCTTCCCCTGCAGGTCTCGGGCGCCCAGGAAGAGGTGCCGGACGGCTCTGGGGATCATCCCCCGCGATTCGGGGCCGCCCGGCGGCTCCGGCCCCTCCATGGTGAAGGTTTTGCCGCTGCCCGTCTGCCCGTAGGCGAAGATGCACACCGGGTACCCGTCCAGGGCTGACTGCAAAACAAAATTTCATCAATTCAGACAAATTTGGGAATTTTTAGGGGGATTTTGGGATTTTCAGCACATTCGGGAAGTGGTTTTGCAGTGGATTTAGAGGCAAACTTGAGGGTTGCAGGGAGAAATTTGGATGAGATTTGAGGGTTCAGAGATGATTTGGGAGCTCTGAAAACAAGATTTGAGAGGAATTTTGGAAATTCCAAGAAAATTTGGGAATTTTTAGAGGGATTTTGGGATATTCAGCACATTCGGGAAGTGGTTTTGGAGCAGATTTAGGGGCAAATGTGAAGATATCGGGAGGAAATTCGGGTGAGATTTGAGGGTTCAGAGAGGATTTGAGAGTCCTGGAAAAGAGACTTGAGAGGAATTTTGGGAAATTCCAAGAAAATTTGGGAATTCTGAGAGGATTTGGGAAAAAAATGGGAATTCTGAGAGAATTTGGAGAGGGATTTTGGAGGGATTTTGGGGGCATTTTGGGGATCCGGCCCCTCCATGGTGAAGGTTTTGCCGCTGCCCGTCTGCCCGTAGGCGAAGATGCACACCGGGTACCCGTCCAGGGCTGACTGGAAAACAAAATTTGGGAATTTTAGAAAAATTCGGGAATTTTTAGGGGGATTTCGGGATTTTCAGGACATTTCGGAAGTGGTTTTGGAGCGGATTTAGAGAGAAATTTGAGGATATCGGGGGGAAATTCGGGTGAGATTTGAGGGTTAAAGGAGGATTTGGGAGTTCTGGAAGACAGATTTGAGAGGAATTTTGAAATTCCAAGAAAATTTGGGAATTCTGACACAATTTAGGGAAGAATTTGGGAATTGTGAAGGAATTTGTGAAGCATTTTTGAGTCCTGGGAGGAATTTTTGGGGGATTTTGGGGGTCCGGCCCCTCCATGGTGAAGGTTTTGCCGCTGCCCGTCTGCCCGTAGGCGAAGATGCACACCGGGTACCCGTCCAGGGCTGACTGGGGATGGAAAATCCACAATTTTAGAGAAATTTGGGAACTTTTAGGGGTATTTTGGCATTTTCAGCACATTCGGGAAGTGGTTTTGCAGTGGATTTAGAGGCAAACTTGAGGGTTGCAGGGAGAAATTTGGATGAGATTTGAGGGTTCAGAAAGGATTTGGGAGTTCTGGAAAAAAGACTTGAGAGGAATTTGGGAATTCCAAGAAAATTTGGGAATTTTTAGGGAAATTTGGGAATTTTTAGAGGGATTTTGGGATTTTCAGCACATTTGGGATGATAGGAAGTGGTTTTGGAGCAGATTTAGGGGCAAACGTGAAGGTATCGGGAGAAATTCAGGTGAGATTTGAGGGTTCAGAGAGAATTTGGGAGTTCTGAAAAAGAGATTTGGGATGAATTCAGCAATTCTGAGGAAATTTGGGAATTCTGAGTGAATTTTGGGAAAAATTTTGGAATTTTGAGAAGGATTTGGGAATTTTCAGAGAGTTTGGAAATGTTTCGGAGCGGATTTTAGGAGAAATTTGAGGATATCGGGAGGAAATTCGGGTGAGATTTGAGGGTTCAGAGAGGATTTGGGAGTTCTGGAAGAGAGATTTGGGAGAAATCTCTGGAATTCCTAGGAATTTGGGAATTCTGAGAGGATTTGGGAAATAATTTGGGAATTTTGAGAGAATTTTGAGAGGAATTTTGGCGTTCTGAGAGGGATTTTGGGGATCCGACCCCTCCATGGTGAAGGTTTTGCCGCTGCCCGTCTGCCCGTAGGCGAAGATGCACACCGGGTACCCGTCCAGGGCTGACTGGGGATGGAAATTTGGGAATTTTTAGGGAAATTTGGGAATTTTCAAAGAGTTTGGAGCAGTTTTCAGCAGATTTAGGGTCAAATTTCAGAGTTCCGTGAAGAAATTCGGGTGAGATTTGAGGGTTCAGAGAGGATTTGGGAGCTCTGGAAAAAAGATTTGAGAGGAATTTTGGAATTCCAAGAAAATTTGGGAATTCTGAGTGAATTTTGGGAAGAATTTGGGAATTTTGAGGATATTTTGGGATATATTTTGGGATATTTTGGGCTCTCACCTGCACGAGGAGCTGAATCTCCTGGAAGATTTCCCTTTGAGAAGCTCCGGGCGGGATTTGGGGGATTTTCAGCGGGATTTGGGTAGAATTCCAGGGATTTTGGGAAATTTGGGATATTTTGGGATATTTTTGGCTCTCACCTGCACGAGGAGCTGGATTTCCTGGAAGATTTCCCGCTGGGAGGCTCCGGGTGGGATTTGGGGGATTTTGAGCAGGATTTGGGTGGAATTCTGGGGATTTTGGGAAACTTGCATCTTTTGGGATATTTTGGGATATTTTTGGGATATTTTGGGATATATTTTGGGATATTTTGGGCTCTCACCTGCACGAGGAGCTGAATCTCCTGGAAGATTTCCCGCTGGGAGGCTCCGGGCGGGATTTGGGGTTGGATTTGGGGGATTCTGAGCAGGATTTGGGGTGGGATTCCGGGGATTTTGGGAAATTTGCATCTTTTGGGATATTTTGGGGATATTTTTGGGATATTTTGGGCTCTCACCTGCAC